TGCACAGTGGACAGCAGTTCTAGGTTTCCCATGGGGAACCTGGGCATTTATGGAGTCCTTGGGGTCACTGAGGAAAGACCTAGCTGCTAAGAGCAACTCCAAGGGATAGTCTATATTGTAAAATATACACTATATACAATTTAATGTTGTCTTTTCAATACTCCAATGGATAGGGTAAACAAAGTGGTAAAATGCAATGTAGTGTAAAAAGCAATCTCCAAAGTGTATTTTTACAAGTTCACTATAGATAGTGGAAAGAATAAAAAATTAATTTTCTTCATTTTTTTCCTTCCTTCTCCATTTTCATATGTACAAAGTATTTATGAAGTCTTTTTTAAAAAATCATTAAAAATAAGTAACTTAAAACAATAAAATATTATAAAAAATGTATTATATAGAAGATATGGTTGGAGTAAGTATAAAAAAATGGAAATGTAAAACACTATTAATAGTGTAAAATGAAGTTTACACTACCAATTTTTACACTACACCTTGAAGATGCTCTAAGGCCAAATCAATTGGAAGAGGGGCCTCATCAACCATGTACTATACTGGTTTCTTGCTTCCCATTGGGGTAAGGATTTTGTCAATTATAATATTTCTTATAATTTTTATTGAAATGTGATCTCATTGAAACTTTCAATATGAAAAGATCCTTTTTCTGGAGAGTTGCTTGGGGACTGGAACAAATATTACAACAAGAAGCCCACACACATCCCCAGCTAGGCCAAGAATCTGCTTTTGGGGTGAGATTCCAATAAAGAAGAAAATCACCCTCACAGAAATGGATGCTTACGTTGGGGACGTGCAGGTATATACATATTATTGGTCAATAAAGATTAAAAATTTAAGGAATTCCAAAAATAAAGTGTCATTGTTTTGGTTGCAGGCTCTACAGAGCATTCTTGTTCCCGACAAGTTTGAGGATACTGCAGAGTGGTATTTGAACTTCTATCCTCTAGAGACCACAACACACCCTGAGTTGGATGCGCTTGTGGCAAAATTAGAGGGTAGAGGGGAAGTCCACATTCCGGTGGAGAGGAAGAGAAAAGCCCGGAATGTCCCTTCACCAACAAGAGATAATTCTGTAGAGTGTAATGAGCACATCTTCTCTCCCCAAGCATCTCAGAGGAGTCAGAGCCTTAGGGAATCTCCTTTTAGAGTCTCCCATTCCAACATCCCAACTCCATCGTCTCCTACCCCTCACCCCACCAAGCCTTCATCGAATTCCTTTCAAGAACTCTTTGATCGAATGTCAAAGAAAATTGATGACATTGCAGAAGAACAAAGAAAGAGGTTTGAAGTGCTGGAAAAAAGTTGATGCTTTGTCAACTTTAATAAATCAAAAGATTGTGAATAAGGTATGTCGAAGCTTTATAAAGGTCGTCCAATAATTTTAATTGATCACAATTGATCCATTCTAATGTAAAAATATGAAGGTGAATGTAACTGAATCAGGAGAAGAACCAACAAAGACTCCGCTGGAGGTAAGTCGAATACCGTCGAATATATACGAAGCCATCGAATATATACAAAATGTTTGAAGCTTCTCGAATACAGTCAAAACGTTTTGTTCAGTTTTAAATCTGTAAGATCTTTTTACGTTTAGGTGCCAGAGACGACAATCATGGATGATTGTGAAGAGACTGAGGCACGCAATCCTTCACCTGATGATAAGGTTTAGGGTTTAATGGAGTCATTTCATTTTGTTTGCATATGTTAAATGAAATCATATAATCATTTCATACTTCATTCTCATCATTTTCATACTTCATACTCTATAGGATTCTCCAGGACCAGGTATTCTCCAAATTCTTGGGGAAATAAATCAAGAGCATGAGAATCCACCTTCAACTCTTTCTAATTCTGTTCTATGTTTGGAGAACAGAATGGTAAAGTTCTAATCTTAGCTTACAGCTGCATTGTCCTTTCGAAAATAGAGTCATATTTTTGTTCTTGTCTGCAGGCTGAGTCTACCCATGAGACAATAGGAACAGAAGTTGCTGCCTCAATGAAGCCTCTGCAGGAAATGGTAAAATTCTAAATCTTACTTCAAGTGCCTTTGAATTGGAGTCGAAGCTTTCAAAATAATTCGAATTATCTGTAGGTTGAGTCTAGCCATGAGGTCAATGAAACAGACGATGCTGCTTCTATGAAACCTCTGCAGGACAAGGTAAATTCTAAATTTCATGCATTCGAAATGAAGTCAATATCTTCGAAGTATTTAGAACATGTTTATTTGCACTCTATTTAATGTAGGTTGTTTCTCCCTAGAAGGAATTGGGAGACAAGGCTGATATTATTGATGCCCATGTGTACGGAAAGGTTTGGTATCTTAATTCAAGTGCTTTCGATTATTAGTCGAAGAGTTCGAAAGTAATTCGAATAATCTGTAGGTTGAGCCTAGCCATGAGGTCATGGAAACAGACGTTGCTGCTTCTATGAAACCTCTGCAGGATAGGGTAAATTCTAAATTTCATGCATTCGAAATGCAGTCAATATCTTCGAAGTATTTAGAACATGTTTATTTGCACTCTATTTAATGTAGGTTGTTTCTCCCCAAAAGGAATTGGGAGACGAGGCTGAAATTATTGATGCCCTTGTGTATGGAAAGGTTTGGTATCTTACTTCAAGTGCTTTCGAATATGAGTCAAAGATTTCGAAGTAATTCAAATTCTGGTGGTCCCAAAGTGGTGAGATACAAATTCTAGAGGGGGTGAATAGACTTTGTTACAATTTTGAAACTTTTTCGTTTCTTTTGAAAACGTGAAACTAGTGTAAATCTAGAGTTCTTGGGAACTTTAGATTGTGTGCGGAATTTGGTGGGTAGTATGAGCAGTAATCAATATGGATGGGTTAGTTTTCACAGTTAATATAATTGCAAGTAAGAGTAAAGATAAAAGAGAGAGACACGCAAACTTTAACGAGGTTCGAAGGTGGGGTAATCCTTCTACGTCCTCAAAATCCACTATGTACTTGGTTGTTGAATAAAGAACCAACAATTACACTTTGTGTGAATTTCTGCATGGTATATCTTCGCAAGGCCAAAGTTCCTACTGCACTCGTGCTGCCTTTGTTGTTCCTTCGAAGGTCACGCTTCTTCAACAGCTGCAAGATCCGAACAATAGGACCTGCAAGATCAACTTGTGAGAAAGTTGATCTACCCCCTTTTAATCAAGAAGTTTGATCAAAAGTTATATCCTTCAACGTGGTGTGGTACTTGAGGCAAGGAAACCTTCAAGTGTTTACACTATAGCTCTTTGGAAGGAGGAGAAGTTTGCTTCTAGATAAGGAGTTTTTAGAAATCTCTCTTTATCAAGCTTTTTGGGCTAACTGTGAACGAGATAGCTTTGTTATTAGAGATTGCTTCGTTGTGTTCGTCTATCTCGTTATTTCTTCTTCAGTCTTCCAAGGTTGCTATTTATAGCTGGATTGGATAATCTATCCGTTGAATCAAAATAGACTATCCGTTGCATTTGCTGGCTTCAATTTTGAATGAAGATTGTGATTGAGGATTCCTCATTGGAGTGGGTGTTTGGACATACCCAATTTTTTGAGGAGGGATTCATTTTTCCATAAAATCCGTCTTCTAGCTGTTGTTCAAGAATTCTGGACTGTAGCATTTTACTCAGTTTGTCTTCTAGTGCTTGTTTAGGAATTCTGGACGAGCTCTTTAATTTGAGGGGTCCAGACTCTGTCTTCAAGTCATTTATTCTTAAATCAGCTTAATTATCTTCAATCTAGCCGTTGAAAATCAAGAGATTGATTTTTCCTTACCAACGGGTAAAATTTCTTCATTCAAGACTTAGAATTTTTTTTAAAGTTTTTTCTCACTTGTCCGCTTCTGAGAGTTCCGGTCTTTTCTTGAGGCATCCGGTTCTTTCGCTGACAATTCCGGAAGAGTCATTCACAGACTTCCGGGTGAGAAAGAGATCCGCGCTAGTCTTCCGATTTGAATGACTTAGCCTTCAGCGGGTTGTAGCGAGACATCCGGTTCTCATGTAGTGTTCCGGATTAGAGGATCGTTATCTGCTTTGAGAAATCCTTACTTGTCTCTGACATTTCCGATCAAGATATCCAATTTCCAAATCACAAAATTTGATTAAGTCTTCAAGCATCAAACCACTTAAAGAAATATCACAACTTTATTGGAAATCTCAAGAGCTCGGTTTTAACAATATTTCTAAAAAGAAAAATTACATTGAATATTGGGGGAGGCCTAAAGTCCCTATTACAATCTAAATACATCATCATCAAAATCTATAATATTTTCCTAACAAATTCACTTATTTTTTTATTTTAGAGATTGAAAAAGAAGTCAGCCAGTTCGAAGTCTCCGTATACAGCTGACAGGAAGAAGAAAAAGAAAGCCGATGAACTCTTATCTAAGCCGCTAACTAAAGGAGATCTTTTGGAATTTAAGAGCTTCATCGTAGAAGCAATTAAAACTGACCGCCTTGTACAATGCTACCTCGAGCAGCACAAGGAGCATGAGGAATTTGTGAAAACCTGGTGGACTAACCTTACCACTCCAGGTCTTTGGGTAGCGGATACTGTAAGTTGCATTAACCTTTCATTCTTCGTACACAAACAATGCTTATATCTTTCGTTTTCTAATAACATACTTTTGTTTGTTAACTAGCATCTGAGTGAGTACCTTTACGTCCTGAGAAGACGTTTATGTAATGGTGTTGGAGACTCTGTCATTGCGCCTTTTGAATTCACAACGTACGTGAACTCTTTTGCCTGTGACCCACAATGGCCTGTTTTGTCTAGACCCATTGAAAAGATTGTGGATGGTACATATAACGAGGGGCAGGAAGCATTTCAAACCAAAGCCTGGAAAAATAACACTAAGTACGTATATTATTTGAAAGCCACGGGTACACATTGGTTCTGTGTCAAGGCTGACTTTGAGAGGTGCTGCCTCGTCGTGCTTGACTCCCTTTTTGGGATATCTACAAATTAGGACATCCATCGTTTGCTGAAAGATGAACTTAAAGGGTTTAAAGGCATTGCTAAAATTAAAGAAATTGGCAAGCACGGATATGCCAATTGGGATATCGAATTATGCCCAGTACCCCAACAGAATGATTCTGACTGCGGCATCTTCGCGGTAAAAATGTTAGAGTTGGGTGTACAACATAAGGATTTTAAATCTTTGGAGAAGATGACAAAAGAAAAGATGGCCAACATGCGTTTAGAAATTGCTTACTAAAAGAGTACCATTGTAGAAACAAAAAATAAATTCTGTGGTAGATAAATATATTATTAATAAAATTGTGGTGGATACATATGATTTAATGGAATAGCATATATTATTACATATATTATTAAAAGTATTATTAATTATGGGGTGGATACATATAATTGCATGGAATTGCATGGAGTTGCATGTAAACACGAGTAACTAATATTACGGGATTACATTCTAAAACTTGTTCATATAAAATTACACAAAAATCAATAATTCCATGAAATTAGCTCGGAGCGATCTTTGAGTAATTTCTTTTTTATCTCTTCAATATTTCGGTCTCTACACAAGCTGCTACAACTGCTAGCATTCCGTTTGTTCAATCAGACAACACCATGCCTCTATTGCAGCACGCATGCACAGTTCGTCATCATGTGCTGCAGCAGAGGGATGCGTTATCTGATCGAAAAAACCATTATGACCGTATTATCTGATCGAAAAAACCATTATGACAGTTAGAGAAAAACAACGTACTTGAAATATCCATTTCTATCAATCAATGAAAGAAAGGTAAGAAATTCTGATGTGGGTAAAGAAACAGGATTGTAAGATATGGTAAGAAATTCTGATGTGGGTAAAGAAACAGGATTGTAAGATATGGAATACATTGATGAAGAATACTAAGTGTGTGGATAATGAAAACATGGTACGTGGGATAGGGGGGATATGTGAATTTTAAAAGGTGGGGTAAGTGGAGTACTTATAAGGGTGATTGAATATGAATTTAGAGAGAGGAGTTTAGAAAACGAATTGGATGTTGGTTTAATTAGCTTTTATTACTCTCGTTGATTTCTAAGAGTTCAGGAGGTTAAGGGGGTGTTTGTTTTTTCTGCAGGAAAATGTCTGTGGTTTGCGGACCACTACTGTAGACATCTGCAGGAGAAGTGGTGGACCGAAGGTCTGCGGTCTACAAGAAGAAGACTGTTTGTTTTTTTAATGTTTGTTGACTGCTATATAAATTAATGGTGGTAGTGTACGGTGGTGGTGTATGGACGATTGTGGTGGTGGTGGAGGGTGGTGGTGGACGTTGACGGTGGTGGTGGTGGACGGTG